CCCCTTCTCATCGATGTGTGTGTAACAAAGTGTGTGTAAATGGATTCACGCTGACTGTTCGCACAAGGTCGGCAGGAGAAAGTGGTTTGTAAATTTTATTTTAATGGATGACTAACTGTGATAAAGAAAAAGTTCTTATATCACTCCCCACAAAAGTATGCAGCAAGAAAGCATAAAATATTTAAGACTCCTATTTTTGTTTGCTCTTCTCCTAAGACTAAATCGAATGCTGCTTCATGCCTATTTGTAGGAATGAAAAATTAAATACATGTTGGGGAAAGTAGCATATTATAAAGTAAGATGTCTAGTCATTATTTTGCTTTTTAAGGGACCTGTGTCTCCTTGTATGATATGACATTAACTGTCTATTTTTAAACAGTATCTCCAACATTTAGGAATAAAATTCTAACACATAAATCTTGCCACAAACAACAGTGTTCCACTCTCTAATGGGAGCTAATTACTAGAATAGGTAGGTAGGTAGACAATCCAGTATTTAAAAGACCAGTATATATCAAATTGTCTCTTTAAATGGTTAATTTTACTTAAGTAGAATATGGTAGTATATTTCAGCATTTTATCTTTCCTGATGTCACAGGGAGACAATGCTTAGATTTCTCTGTAGGGCTACCTTTAATTTTCCTTATTTTTTTTTTCTGCAGTAACTTAATAAAGGTTGTGCAGATAGCTGTGAAATTTCTATTGCTTTTTGCTCTGCTCATGAAGATGGGAAATTGGGATCAGTGGCCGCATTCATTCCCCGGTGCAGCTTATTGAAGTGTCACAAACTGATTGGGCTACACAACCAGCATTTATTGCCCCACACTCCTGGAGGCTGGGAATCTGACTTTGTAGTGCAGGCAGGGCCTTGCTTTCTGCAGTCTAGGAGAGGCCATCTTCTCTGGCTGTCCTTTAGTCTCTAGAGAGTGCCTGCCACTCTTGACATGCCCTCTCTTGCAGATGCATTGTTCCAATCACATTCTATGCCTTTATGGTTTTCTTGTTTATGTATATTGTGTTGTGACTCTATTTTTGTATGAATCCCTTTTTCTTTGTTTTAACTCTCTCTCTCTCTCTCTCTCTCTCTCTCTCTCTCTCTCTCTCTCTCTGTGTGTGTGTGTGTGTGTGTGTGTGTGTGTGTGTAGACATTCAATAAATGCATTTTGATTGTGGTTATCTTGTGTTACATTTCTTTGCTGATAGGTCATTCCATTTTCCCTTTAATTTGATGTGAAAATAAGTAGGGAAAGAAGAAATAAATTGTAGTGTATCCCATACTTTGCAAATGAAAGCTATTTCCACAGTCTTAAAACTGTGCATTATCTCTGCTTGACTTCAGAATGCTTGGAAAGTGCTGTATATGCAATTTAGAGAAAGTCCCATTGGGGAAAATCACTGGAGGCAAAAAACAAAGAGAGAAATGGTACAGTTCACATTGAAAGAGTTCTTAGCTACTTTTTATCAAGCTGCTAATATTTCCCATTTTACAGGTCTTTTCTTGACAGATAGTCAAGCATTTGCTACCAAAACCACCATTACATCAAAAATGACTCCAGGAAACAATATTTGTATAGCAATATATTTGAACTAACTAAAGAGATTTTTTTTCTATAAAGAGAAGAAAAAGAGTCTTGCTTGTAGAAGAAACATTTCTCATCTTGTAATCACATTCCCATCCATTATTTTCTCTGTGAGGGATTCCCATGACATTTTTAGGAAACCAACAGATATTCCCAGCTGTTAGTAAACCAAGCAGAAGAACAGCACTATGATGTCTGAGCACAGTGAGGACAGACAAGACGCCATTTTCCCAGCTATCTCCTGGGCTATTTATGTTTAATTACACTACTGGCACTTGACATTATAAAATGTTCCTTTATTTTAAATATAACCTTTTATCATCATTAGTAAATGTCAAATGTAACGAAGTGTTTTCCTGACTTGCTCTTCCCGGTAGAATGGTAAGAAAATGGCATTAAGTTTGCAATCCTGAAATTCTTTTCAATATCAAAGCCAGAACAGAAGCAGCTTGGTGTGAGATTATTAGACAAGGTTTAATGTTCATATTGTCCTCACATTGGGAGAAATTTTCCTGTGTGTGTTTCTTCCTACATTTGCCTTCTTTGGTACAATTTCTTGTTCTGTCTGATTGTCTTAGTGACAAATACTTCCAAATGGATTGTGTTTTCCGTTTCAGTCAGAATGATGTTGGAGATCTGGCCCCATGCTGTGTCTTAACTTCCATCCAAAATCTTCTTCTGCCTTCTTTTTTTCTTTAGTGATTTCTCTGTCTTTCCCTCCTCCAAATTTTGATATGTAATGGTTACTCAACCCTGTGGTTTCCAGCAGCTTCCTGTAACATTTCAATTACAGTATAATGGAATCATGATTTTTTTGCTCTCTCAACAATTAAAAATTGCCACGATGTGAAACTGATGTATTATAGTGTCTTTACCATCACAATAAAATCAACATTCTGTGAGAAGGGGACGCTATCACCAGGAAAGGTCAGAAAGGAAAAGCCACAGTTTTTCAACACATTTTTCAGCAGGCTGTGTTGAAAACACACTTGACAGGGGTCTGGGTCATCTTTCTCGATGTCTCCAGTGTGTTTTCAATTTTCCTTTATGACAAAATGAGAGAAAAGCTGTGTGTTGTGCAGAGAAGAGAGCTGGCATGGCATCGTCAGTCTGCACCAAAAAAAAAGAAAAGAAAAGAAAAAGAAAAAAAGAAAGAAAAGAAAAGAAAAGAAAGCTGTTTGAAGCTGCTTGACAGGGGGTGGGGGGGTACACTGCATCCATGCATATGTTCTGAACAGTATGAAGTCAGGAAGAAGATGGGAAAGGTTCTAAATGTTCTAATCTGACTTGTAAAAATGGGTTCTGCCCCCCAGAGAGACAAAATATCTTACTATGTCTTTGACTATCCCTTGCTCTTTTGAACACGTTCATCGGGACCTTGGCTCTGGCATTTTTTGAGTGTCTTCTTCTTGGTTTTATGGTTATATATCCTGTTGACTAAATGAAGTTCATGATTTTCTGAGAACACACAAAAAGGCTCAACATTAGCTTCTTTCTGCCCAGTCAGTTTCTGTATTTGTTCCAATTATATGCAATTGATATCCTAGGCACCTACATTTTCATAATATTTATAAAACATTAAGCAAAGCACAAGAAAATATTGAAATAATTGCCAAGAAACCCTCATTATATTAGAATGTAACTGGGGAGCTTTTATTTCTATTATTATGGTTAGAATATGACTTCCCACTAATTAGCCATTTACAATTGGAATATACATTTTTCCTAATGATTTTAATACTACTTTACCTATAAAATATATTAATCGTTGCTTTCTCTGGCACAATACAAACATGTTTTCTGTTATACTTTCCTTTTCTGTTGTTTTCTAAAAGGGTTCTAAAAGCTTCCTCACAAGCTTTCCTTAATCGCTGTGCATTTGAACACTCTGATCTGTTTCATCCCAACTTGAATACTTACATTCTCTAATCAGAGCTTTAATCAGGCCAGTCTTGCCTTCTCCAGAGAAGCATGTGTTCTCGTTGGCTTTGTGTTGGCTTAGCAGTCACACTCTTGGCTAAGTCGGTTCTAGTGCCACTTAGTCTCATTGACTGAGCCCAGTCTCCTCTGATCACTCTCCTTTGAACCTGGAGTTGCCGAAGAACACACCACACAAACTACTAAAGAGCTGTGCACAATCTTATGTCCCTCTCTGCTGCATTGCTGGATGTTAGGATCCAACTGGGAAGATGTCTATGGGTGGAATTCAAAATCCAACATGGGCTCCATGAGATCTCAATGTCATTTTGATGGTATGGAAAACTGTTTTTGCATCACCCAACAAGTGAGCTCTCTCTCTCTCTCTCCAAGGCCTACTAGGTCTTAGAGGGATATGGGGTGCACTTTGTTTATAAGAGGCATCTTAGGGATAAGTGAGGAAGAGGGACCATACTAAGTTAGAAAGAAGGTAATTTTTGTTCAAAGCGCCAAGTTCCTAAAGAGTTTATGAAAAGAGAAGCAGCTAAGCACAGTTTCCAAAAGGGTGGAAAAGAGGAAAACCAATTAGAAATGATGCTTCCATTTAGAAAGAACAGGGGAGGAGCCATAGGGTGAACCAAGGAACCAGTTCTTCCTGAATAGTGTCTGTGATGGGTAGCAGAGCCCTTTAGATGACGTGCAGGTCTCAGAATCCTGATTCCACTGCCACATGCCATGACTTGTGCAGACATTACTTCCTCCATTTTTAAGTTGGCATCTGTCTACAATGACAGGTTAGGAATGAAACCTTGCCTTTGTCATTTATTAGCCCCTTTTTATCCTGTGCTGTATGAGCTCTGGATCCCCAATGCACTTACTTAGCTTTAAAAGGGTTCAGTTTACAGAGGATTAGATACTTGTCTATGGCCCCTAGCCATAAAATAGAGGGGCAAGAACTTAAGCTCACATTTACTCATCCAGAAAGAAGGTGTGTTACTGTCATCTCACAGCTGATTAAACTGAGACTGAACTGTAACCTCCTTAAAAGTAGGAACATGTTCCTTTTGTTCCCATACCAGCTGGGATTCATGGACAAACAGTTCGTAAAGGCATAGTGTCGTAGCCGAGGTATCCCTCTAGCTTTAAAGTATGTCAAGAGCCACCAATTTCAGATGGTTGTAATCTTTTCCTTTCTAGAGATTTATGCTGGTTGATGGGGAGTAAACTTTGATCTTCTTTCATAGAAAAAAAAAAAGAAGGAAAGAAGAGAGGGAGGGAGGGAAGAAGGGAGGGAGGGTGGGAGGGTAGGAGGGAGGATCTTCTCATAGTACTGCAGAGCTGACTTGTGAGTATCAATAGGAAAAACAAAACTAAAAGAAAATCAGCTGTGTGTTATACACACACAGTTTTAGATGAGATTGTGAAATTTCATGGAAATAATTAATCACTCCCCCAAAGTCTTTTGCCTCTTTTATGAGATGGTGTCACTGTTTTGTTTCTTAGGACACAGCAGGCCAGGAAAGATACAGGACCATCACCACAGCCTATTATCGAGGGGCCATGGGCTTCATTTTAATGTATGACATCACAAATGAAGAATCCTTCAATGCTGTTCAAGATTGGTAAGTTACTGCCATTATAAATGGTGATAGTTTTCCATTTGACAACCTATTCCTCCCACAGCAGTGGCTATGGGGCAATGTCCTATGTATGTTTATTATGAACTACAATCCCACTTGTGCTCTGAGCCAAAGAAAAGTTGGTCATGCTCACAACCATTGTCAGAAGATTGGCCACGAAATCATTTTAGTGACTTTTCTTCATTTTTGTTCACTTCAGGGCTTTCCATCCCATGAATCTTCCTTCTATAGAACTGAGGGTGTTGCTAAAAATGTAAATAATGCTCTGGAAGTTTATTGATCTAATATAGTGATCTAGAAACTAAGGCTGGTGGGCCTTGGCCCACAACTTGTTCTTTAAATAAAGCTTTATTGGAACACAGCCAGGCTCATTTGTTTATTCTTTGTGGTGTGTTCACACCACAAAAGCCAAGGTAAGTAGCTGCAGCAGGACCCGTGTGGCCCGCAGAGCCTGAAACATTTCTCTGTGGACATTTGGAAGAAGCCTTTGCTTATTCCTTCTCTAGTAGTTTCGTTAAATACATTATTCAAACTAGAACATTTGAAAGGACTTAGAACAAAAGCAGCATCACACCCAGACCCTTTGTGACTCATAACTCCATCAGACTCTGTGAAAAGAATTGTATCCATAATGAGTGTGATGTGCAGTAGGGGACTTTCTGTTGTGAGCTCCTTTTCCTAGCTTCGCAGAATAGTGAGATCACGGTCATGAATTCCAGCCCAGGGCTAAGAAGAACAGGAATTTTGTGGAAAGTTCCAGAATGGAGCTCCTAGTATCCAGGGATGGCTGAGCAAACACCACATTCAAATGCTAAATAGTCACAATCCATCTCTTATAAGAAGCATCAGATAAGCACTATATTGTAAAACAAACAGGATTTGTTTTTTTTTTATTTTCTATACTAGTATTACCCACTGATTTTATATGTGTACCAGAATCTGATGTTGTTAGAGACTTGAATTTGCTCTACGTTGTTTCTTGAATATGATTATTGTTGTTCTGGGAAGGCACCTACATCTGTCATGTACACCTTCACACACACACAGGCATACCCACATATACATAACATGTACACACATATACATGTACACATACATATACATACACATACATACACACATGCACATCTACACATACAGATATACATATGTACATATACTCACCCATATCCATGTAAATGTATACATACCCACATATGCATGTACACACACATTTATATACACATACATATAGGCACACACACATGTACCCACTTCCTGTGCATGAAGTTATACCGTTGATAACAGTAACTCAAAAGAGAAAGATACATAAATTGTCAAAAGTCAACTTTAGGACCTATATCAAAAGCAATCATCTTCCACTGAGAGACGGAGAAGGCTTGTATAGCCTTTCTATAGTGCATTGACTACTGTAAAAAGGAAACTCCCAAGTTAACCCATAACTCCAAGGTAGGCCCAATTAAATACCAGTAAGTCTGTCACAAATGGAATGGGCTAGAAAGTCCAGAGACAGACACATCTGCATGTAGATTTAGTTTCTGATAAAAACAGAATCGAGGACCATTCAGTTATCAGTTGTATGATATCTGGCTAGTGGCCATTCGCAGCTGTAATTCATATATCACCTGCAAAACAGCAATTTCAATATTGCTAGAAATGCTGAGACCTGTGTGAGGATGTAGAAAGTGTTCACACTCAAGTTCTGGTGCTGTTTGTACATACTTCCTCTGGCCCAATTGTTTCAATATGAGTTATTTCACCACTGAGAGAACATACCGTGTTACACTGGGCTCATTAAAAAGAAATACCACTGATACCGGGAGCCGCACAGTCAACATTGCTGACTCTTCTATCAAGAACATACAGGAATGATTGACAGCTGCCTCTGTGATTAGACTTCACCACACTAATGCTTCTCCTTCCTTGTGTGCCAACAAACCCATCGTTATTTTAGCCTGCCTCCGCCTCAAATTCTCTAGACAACTCTGATGCCCCCCTATCCTACTAAGGCTCTATTTCCTGTTTTCTGAAAGACACATTTTCCAAATTACTCTTCTCTCTCTGACCCCTCTTCCTACTTCTCCCAGGCACCAGTGACATTTTCCTGTGTCCCATCCTTAGTCATTTAATTCACTTCCCTAGATTCATTTATCACTTAGATCAGATGGCTCCCAAACTTAAACGTCTGCCCTTGGTTTGTAAACTGCTATTGCATTCCTAGGTACTCAAAATGTTTATGCCACCTGGGGTCTCTTCTAGTATCTTGAAGTCATTTATCTTCACCTGAGACTGCTCACCTTCCTGACATAATTGCTGCTTGACGGAATAGAATGCATCATTCAGGGCTGACCATGAATCCAGCTCTGACTTTCACTATCTGGATCTGGGCCAGCTCGTGCATATTCTTTTATTTAACTTGGGAATCTTTTGACACACTCCTACCTTTCTCTTCCTTCTTTGGCCATCCTCACCTAGTTTCTTATTGTTGTATTTTGCCCCTACACTCATTAGAATCTTCAGATTTTCTTGCTCTTCAAATTCTTCTTTCTTGATCCATCCTACCCCTTGGCTGCTTGTAGGTTCTTCCAAAGCACACGATCTTGAAGTTTCTGGGAGATCCTTGTCCCAAAGCTATGGCTCACCATTGCCTCCTGAGTTGGAACTTCCCCAGCTTGGCTTTCAGATGCAGCCCCTTATGATGCTGCTGTAACTCTGTAACATCATTTCTCTGTATTCTAGAGAAAAGCTGAAGCCACTCTTTCCAGAACCTCACCCAAACATTTCAAACTTTCAGCATTTTTCTTTCATGCCAATGAGCGACCTTGGATTTCATTGCAAACCAATGGTCCTGATGAGAAATGGACTTCAGAGTCATTTGTGGAAATTTGGATTTGCATGTATTTTTTGATAGCTTCTTGTTCCATTTATCTCCAGGCAGCTAGATTTCTCCAAAACTGAAGAATAAGGAAGTCCATCCTGGAAAACCACTACTATTTACTAATTTTCTTACACACACAGTTACATAACTAGTCATTTATTGCTAACTTAAATTTTTTTTAGTATTCATTCAGCCAGCAGTTACTGAGTGTCTATCCTGATAGCTGAAGGCCAGACATGCCTGTGCCAACATATGTTATCTTAGTGGATCTGCCATAACCCAGATATATGTATGACTCAGGTCTAACATCTTGGTCTTTTGATTATCACAGCACAAGGCCCAATTATTCTGATTTTCTGAATACTTCTCACATACATTCCTCTCCTTTCTCTCTACTGTCATTGTCTTAATTCAAACTATCATTTAAGGACTTTCTATCTTGTCTCCATCTATCTTCTTTTTAAAATACTTTCAGTAATTCCTCATGCCCTGTGGTAATGATTATGGAAGCACAAGTAAATCACTACCAAGCTTTGACAGGTATCAACCCAGGCTCCACTCTGGACCCACTAACCCGAATCTCCCATGAGACATGTGAGCATAGCTGTCTCCAAATTTCCACAAGTGACTCTGAAGTCCATTCTTACTATGATCATTGGTTTGCAATGAAATCCAAGGTCGCCCATTGGCATCATCTCCAAAGCTCTTCTCCATGTATTCTGTGCTTCCCCCAGACAAATCTTTCCTCAGTTTACCAAAGTTTGATCCTTCTACTACATCTGCTCCTCTGCCTAGACAGTCTGAGATTTTAAGTACCTTCCACGCCAAGCCCAAATGCCAGCTCTTCTCCACAGCTTTACAATACATCTCTGCCCTCACCCTCATCTCTGCAGCTGTTCTATTTGCACTTTACACAGAATACACAAATCATCTACAAGACTGCTGTCATCTGAGTACATTTTGCCTCATATATCAGGTTGTGCGTTTGTTGATTTTCCCCAGTACTGAATACAGTATCATGCAATATGTTTTCTTATATTTTTCTAACGTGTAAACTGTGGCAAAATGCATATGCCCAAAGTTTACCACCCTAATTATTCTGCAGTGAACAGTTCAGCTGCATTCTGTGCATTCATTTTGCTGAGCAGCCATTCCTGCCCTCAGTATCCAAAACTCATCTTAACTTACAGAGCTAATACATATCTCCCTGTACTATTGGCCCTTAAAAAAAAAACACCATTCTACTTCCCAACATTGTAATTGTGACTTTAAATTTTCTGGTAAAATTTTATTGATGATTTATTAAGGCGCTCTCTTTAATTTTGCCAGATTGCCCAGTTCTGTAAAAATTAACACAAAGCAAAGTTCACTCAGAGAGCAAATATAAAATTGCCTAGTGTTTATAAAGTTTCAAAAATGACATCACAAACTAAACACAGAGGATGGACACAATGAAGTTAATAAAACAGAAAAAAAAATAGTATTCTTCAGAATCAGGAGAGGATATTTGTTCAAATTCACCCTAGAGACCAGGAGGAAGGGCTTGTGTGCTAATGGTTCATTAGCATCGGGGAAGTAGAATTCAACAACAGAAGGAGATGGCTGTTCAGTCACACGGCAAGAGCAAAGATTTGTGGGTGAAAATGTTATAATACAGTCAAAGTAGAGACAAATTTGCTCACACCTGCAGTTTGCTAAGTTGTAGAGGCAAAAGCAACAATATTTTGGCACTTTTATTAGGGGAACTGAGGTGACCAGTTTTTAAAGAAAGGATTCTACTTCTATTCTTTCACTGAAATCTTAGTTAAGAAATAATAATAAGATATAAAGATAATAATAAGATCTAAAAAATAAGAAATTAAAAAGTGATGTGTTAAATAAAGAGGTCTCCAGTAGATTAAATAGTTACAGGAAAATAAGGTCCCCATTTAAACCGCTCATCACCCTTGGGAGAGTTTTTCAGAGGACTTGCGGCCAGAGCATCCCCTGGGTCTCAGGTGAGTCTTGTCCCCAAAAACATAGACTGTAGATGAGCTCCCCAGATTCTTATGGAAGTCTAGAGCTGTGACTTACAGCACCTACATACATCACTGTGCATTTTAAT